GCCCAATGTCAATCCTCATCCGCTTAGCTGCGCTGCTCAGTTGGATCTTCTCGACCTCCACTTTCGGCTGCGCTCAACATTTCATCGACGGTTCTGGTTACTCCGTCACATCTGCGAGTGAAGATGCCGGTGTACTCACTATTAACCTCGCTGTAAACACCGCTTCGACCTCGACCCCGTACGGCTCTGACCTGTCGGCACTCGTGGTGACGGTCACCAAGACGGAGAAAGACAGTGTCCGCGTGAAGATCCTGGACAAGAACAGCAAGCGCTGGGAAGTGCCCAGGGACCTGTTCACCGCCGGTTCTCTGGGTACGGACAGCACGGCAACGTCTGCTGCGACGGATCCGCTGTACTCGTTCAACTACACGCAGAATCCGTTCACGTTCAAGGTGGTGCGCAAGTCCGACGGCTACACGCTCTTCGACTCGTCTGGTATCTCGTTGGTGGTGAAGGATCAGTATCTGCAGGTGGCGACGGCGCTGGGCAGTGATCTGAGCGTATATGGCATTGGCGAGAGTACTCGCGACAACTTCAAGATGTCTTCAGGCGACAAGCAAACTCTGTGGGCGCGCGATCAGGGATCCGCTACTCCTATCGTCAACACTTACGGATCACACCCGTTCTTCTTAGGTATCAACAGTGCCGGTCAGGCCCACGGTGTGTTGCTACTTAACAGCAACGGTATGGATGTGACAATGGACAGTGGACACCTCGTTTACCAGGCTATCGGTGGTGTACTCGACTTCAACATCGTGGTTGGTCCGACCCCAGCGAACGTCGTCTCGCAATACACCAAGCTCATCGGACGTCCAAAACTCATGCCGTATTGGTCGTACGGATTCCACCAGTGTCGTTGGGGCTACGGCTCTGTCGATGCTCTCCGTACTGTCGTGAACAAGTACAAGAGCAGCAATCTTCCGTTGGACGTCATCTGGGCCGACATTGACTACATGAAGAACTTCCACGACTTCACGCTGGATCCAGTCAACTTCCCACAAGCCAAGATGGCTGCCTTCATGGATGAAA